GATTCTTTTAAAATAAAATCTGCCTCTTGGGCAGAGTAATAGGCAACAATGTTTAGCTGTATAAACCTGCATAAAGAAACACCAATTAAAACCCTACTCTATTACAGTAAGATAAATAGTCACAAATTAAGTGACATATATGAACACACTGAGCACAACCAGACAAGTGGAGTTATTTTTATTTCAGCAAGAAAAAATAGGTATGTCAAACAAAAAAATTGGCTTTAACACAAAAACTTTTGTAAAAACAAAAATAAAGGAGTCCTGTTCTAGGGCTCCTTGCTTATGGAAAACAGAATTCTCTTTGGGATGTAACAGAAAATCCACAACAATAAAAACTGGCTAGAGTTCAAGGGTTTTTTTTAGTTCCTTCAGGAGGAAAAAAGCAAAGGTATTACAATGTTGTGGTTGAAAATGTAGGTCTCTAGAATTAAGGTAACTGACCACTGCTTCGCCCCCTTCTCACCACCATGAGAACCTGGGTGGTCTCTGCCACATGAGTCTAAATCTTAGTTCTGCATCAGTTTGATTGGATATGATAATTATATCAGCCACTGTGGTTCGTGATGGGAATTAGACAAGGCATATAAAGTGCAGATTGCCCTACATTACTCAATGAACAGGAATCTTTGCCTCAAAGGAGACATTAGCTATCTTTTTTTCAAACATACTCATGCAGCAATTGTAAAACTAGAGAAATTAAGCAGTTTCACCAGGTTCACACACTTATTTCCTAACTTTACACTAAGATTTGGGCTTCCTTAATGCCAGACCAGCATTCTTTCCCCAGTCTTGCGCTATTCTTCTGGATGTGATAGTTTACTAGCATAGATAAAATATGTTCCTCGGTTAGCAATTTTGTACAGCAAAGTATATGCACTTTTATGACAGTTGAAAAGATATTAACAGTATGTATTTTTAAAGAGCTTGATTTTTAAGCCCCTTTCCTGCTTTTCTAAATCTATCCTAACGAAATAACCTAAATAAAAAGAAGACATTCACTATCATATTCCTTGGAATACTACAAAACTGGAAATAAACGACATGTCCAGCAATAGAAAAATAGTTAAACATGATAGACCAATAAACACTGAAACTGTTTTAAAATCACAAGGCTAGAAATGTGGCTCAGTGATACAGGCCTTGCCTAACATGCCTGAAGTCCTGGGTTCAGTCATGAGCATTGCAAAAACAGGACACAAAGGGACATGGAACATATTCATTTCATCCTCATCAAAAGGAGGTAATATGACGAGCAGAATGGTACTTTAGTCATAATTGCTACCAACTAAAAATTAAATATATACCGACAAAATCCAGAAGATAAATAGAAAAATGAAATAATTTTAAGAACATTAACATTAGAGATACCTTATTTTTCTCTTTGAGTTCTCTCAATGGCACGATACAATAAAGAATTGTTTAGAATAGACTGGTTTCTTTAATGGTACTGAAAGGTTTAATATATCATGATAATATGTGTAATAAAATGAAAGATATGAGGTTAGAAATATCATCTTACTATGAGGGACACAGCTGAGTACATCAGTTCTCACTCTCTCTGAACTTAGATGCTGGCAGAGGAAATCTGACATAGTCAGTCTTTGGTTCCAGAACCAGGGAGGATCCGTACCTGCAGACACTTGGTCCCATGGCCTCTGTGCATTCTTCAGTGTGCTTTCAATCACTTCTGGCTGGCCGATGAGACTGGTAAAATGCACGTGCTACGTGAGTAGTTGTTATTCTGTACTGGTCAGAGAATGAGAGCTAAAAAGTCTATACAGGGTTAGTGCAGATACAATGTTTTCCTTCAAATGATTTCAACCCCAGGACGGCAGAATAGGAGGATGCAGAGCCCAGGAATCCGTGGATCTCAGTGCTGCTTCACCTCCAGAATCTTCACATCCACCTCACACAGATGCTCATGCCGCTGCCCATTAATATCACTGGAACTACCAGCCTACGGCTCCCTCTGTTTGTCTCTGGTCCCTTTCTTTCTTGATTTCATTTTTCCTTACATCTGGCTTGCACACTAAGGCCTATCCTCTTAGCCACCCTTCTTCAAGGACTGCAGATTCTTGAGCATTTATCATTTCAAGACACCTGTCCTGGAACCCCAATAAGTAGGAACAATCCATCCTCTGCTGTTTTGGAGTCTCAGTTGCTGGACTCTCTAGGCAAAGGTGCTGGTACCCTTTCACCACCACCCATCTCTTATCTTCCCTGTATCCCATCTTTACCATCCAGCCTGCCCTGCACAGCTATCTCCCCTTTGAATCTGCAGGAATTGTTTGTTTTGAGACAGACTCTTGCAAAATTGCCTGGGCTGTTCTGGAATACCTGGCCCCAAGTTATCCTCTTGCCTCAGCCTCCCCAACAGCTGGAACTGGAAACATGCGTGGGGACATATGGCCAGAAGTGGATTCCAAAATGAAAACTCCCCTTGGGCTGATCCCAGAGCCTACTTGAGCTCTGCACCGTCCTTACACAGCAGATTCCCTTTCAGAGTGGTGGTGCTGGTCTCTGCATCTGCCTGCTGCCGCCCTCTACCATCTCTGACCGTGTAGCCCCTTCTCAGTGACACTGTCCCCTCCCCACACAGTGAGCACATCTAGAGTCTCTGGGATGCGAGCTTTGCTGGGTCACTTTTCTTCTAAAGGGAGCTGTTTGACTTTGGCTGCCTCTGCTTACCCTTTCTCCACCTCCAACTCTTAATGCCTCTTCCACACCACTCCAAAGTGTTCTCACAGCACAGACACCAGTGGCTCTTCATCATTTCTGTGCCACTCAGACCTCATCTGAGCCCAACCTGTTGCCCGTTCTGTTTTGGTATAGTCTCCTCTTTTTACCTGGAAACTTGATGCAACTTAATGAGTAGAATAAATAAATAAGCGCTTTAGGTCATCCAGAGAGAGTAAAAAAGGAAGAACAGCTCCAGGCTCCATGGGAGGGCTTGCACTTTTAGGGGTGTGTTAGCCACCCAGTTGGTAGACTTATGACCTACTAGATAGGGTTATGAGACCTGGATCTCCTAGAAACTATGGAACACATGGGTGATTCATCAGGATAAGGAAGGCAGAACACAACCACAGGATAAAGAGAGCTGTTTATTCACTTACTTTATTGTTAAAAAGATATAGTAGTGGATCATGTTATGAGGACTTACAAACAACATTAGAATTTCCTCTCTTGGGGGATAAGAAGCAGAGAAGGAGCTAAACCTGACAAGGCAAGGTTTAATCCCAGCTCTCTGGGAGACTGAGGCAAGAGGCTTCCAAGTCTAAGCCCACTTTAGGCAATTTAGCGAGATCCTATCTCAAAATTAAAAAAAAGAAATTAGGGCTGGGGATGGGGCTCCATGCAAAGTCTTGGGTTCAATCCTCCCCCTCCCCCTGTACTAGTGCAAATGTAGGAGAGGCCTTGGCTTTCCCTTGGAATTCCATAACATAAAAGCTTCCAACATGCAATCATTCAACAAAGTAGAATCAATTTTGAATTATTAAAATATTACTTTATAATTTTAATGTGAGGCTTGTAAAGCACAATTCGGTGCTTGATTATAATGGAGGCTACTGGCTATTTCATTTATTACTCCTAAGTAATATGTCTCCTAACAGTGCTATTCTCTCCTGTGCATAGGGTGGGGCTGAACAGCTGAAAGAGGCTTTTAAAAATATCCTATCATTTAACAAGCATTTTAACTTTCTGAGTTTCAGTGAATTTTGAATGACTACTGAATACAGTGTATGGTGCTAGGTGTGGATGTGTAAGAGAGAAAATCTTTAATTGTTTGCATTTTATAAGCTGCATCAGAAAAAGCACACTTCAATACCCACAGAAGGTTTAAATGAAGTGAAATTGTTTCATACTCTCATGTATATTGTAGATACAAAGGCCAGAAATCTGGGCAATACTCCGAGCTCACTTGAATTCTTAGAAATCCTATAAATCCTTGTAGCTCATCTCCTTAGGCCAAACATTCACAAGTCGCTGACTGTGGGTAGCTGCTTAGTTCCCTATGACCTGGGACAGGCAAGTAACATGCGAAGAAAAACAGTCTCCGATAGTGCAGGGCATTTTCCTCCTTACTAGCTTTTCCACCAGCTAGAGAGCTACTTAAAGGCTATGAAACTCTCCAATCTTTTTTCTTACTTTCTTCTTTTATTCTCCTGGCCGCACATCTTTGTATTAGTGCTTACTGTTTATTTATTTTGTTTTTGTCTTTTTGAGACAGCATCTTACTATGCAGTTCAGGCCGGCCTTGCACTCACTTTGTACAAAGCTCAGGCTGGTCTCGAACTCACAACAATCCTCCTGCTTCAGCCTCCCAAATGCTGGGATTACAGGAGTGTGCCACTACACCCAGCAGTGCTTAATGTTTATACAGATCAATGGATTTCATTTTGGCCGATTCCTACATACACATAATATACTTTGACCATTTGCTACTCAATGGCCCTATCCTCCAGTCTGATTTATTTTTAAGGGTCATTTTATTTTTAGAGCTTTCCACCTTTCTTAGTTATAGAACTAGAAGGGCGCATCTGGTCAGAAAATTATTATCCCTTTAAAAAAAAAAAAAAAAAAAGACTAGAATTTCGCCGCAGGGTCGAATTAGAGAGATTTACTACACAGTCATTCCCTGGGCTTCACAAATTGCGCCTGAAAGCCAAGCACAAAAGGGTCCGTAAGTGAGCCTATAAAGACCCCGGATCTGGAGTCACGCCTCCTAAATAAAGACGATTCACGTCCAGAGATCGTCCAGCCTCCAGCAGCACTGTGCCCAGCCCTCAGTGGAACCTGCGAAACGGTGAAGCGTCTGGCGGACACCAGCCAGTCCTGGGATTCGGGAAGGCGGAAAGGAAAGCGGCGCCGAGCAGGTTCCGAGCCACCCGGGGTTCAGCCAGAGGCCGCCACGCCCCTCGGGCGGAGGGGGTGGAGCCGGCGCCGGCCGGAGGCAGCCAGGTGAGAACGCGAAGCCCCGCCCCGCGCACCTCGGAAGGGGCGGAGCCGTCAGCTCACCTGTGCCGCGGCGGAAGCGGCCGCCGGTCAGTGTGACCCCATCGGCGGCGGAGACGCGGCCGTGCGCCCCGGGGCCACCATGACCTGGAGCGCCACGGCGCGGGGCGCGCACCAGCCCGACAACACTGCGTTCACCCAGCAGCGCCTCCCGGCCTGGCATCCGCTGCTGTCGGCCAGCATCACGCTCCCGCTCTTCTTCTGCGCCGGCCTGGCCTTCCTGGGGCTGGGCCTGGGGCTGTACTACTCGTCCAATGCCATCCAGGAGCTGGAGTACGACTACACGGGCGACGCGGACGAGGGCAGCTGCGCCACGTGCGCCACCGAGGACCAAGGCCGCGCGCCCCCGCCCCGCTGCTCGTGCAGCTGGTACTTCACGCTGTCTGAGCTCTTCCCGGGCCCCGTGTACCTCTACTACGAGCTGACGGGCTTCTACCAGAACAATCGGCGCTACGGCGTGTCCCGCGACGACGCGCAGCTCAGCGGGCTGCCCAGCGCGCTGCACCACCCGGCCAACGAGTGCGCCCCCTACCAGTACTCCGCCGGCCTGCCGGTGGCGCCCTGCGGCGCCGTCGCCAACAGCCTCTTCAACGACACCTTCACGCTGTGGCACCGGCGCCAGCCCGACGCGCCCTACGTGGAGGTGCCGCTGGACCGCTCAGCCATTGCCTGGTGGACCGACTACCACATCAAGTTCCGCAACCCGCCGCTCGTCAACGGCAGCCTGGCGCTCGCCTTCAAGGGCACCGCGCCGCCCCCCAACTGGCCCGTGCCGGTCTATGAGCTGAGCTCAGACCCCAACAACACCGGTTTTGTCAACCAGGACTTCGTGGTGTGGATGCGCACAGCGGCGCTGCCCACCTTCCGCAAGCTGTATGCGCGCATCCGCCAGGGCAACTACTCGGCCGGGCTGCCCAGCGGTGCTTACCGCGTGGACATCGCCTACAACTACCCGGTGCGCGCCTTCGGTGGCCACAAGCTCCTCGTGTTCAGCAACATCTCGTGGATGGGCGGCAAGAATCCCTTCCTAGGCATCGCCTACCTGGTTGTAGGCTCCCTCTGCATCGTCATGGGCTTCGTCATGCTGGCCGTCTACATTCGCTATCAGGACCAGGACGATGACGACAACGACGATGAGTGAGACCAGCTCTCTGAGGACCCTTTCGGCTTCTTGCCAGAGGCCTTGAGAGCTCTCTTGAGCGTCTCCTTAGCGCCCCTCACCCAGTCTCTTGAGCTCACCTCACTTTGCCTGCTGTTGTGGATGAAGGGCCCAGAGAAAGGGATTCTCCTCTTGGGGCTGCCAGGCTCTCCGATGGGCCTGGGGGGAGGGGATTGCAGTGTGAGGGAAACCTTGCAAATTCTCCATCTACTTCATGTTTTACCAAATTGACATGTCAGGTTCTCAAAGACTAGAATTTTAGAGCCCAAAAGAACCTAGAGGCTACTGCAACGATCCTTATGGAACAGGTGATTAAGAGACCTGGGATGTTCAATTCAATTTCAGCCAGCCAGCCAGTGACACCCGACTCAGGCAATAGTTTGGCTTGGGCGTGGGGTGTAGGGCCTGGTGGGTGATTGTAATCGAGAGTGCAGCCCACGATTAATCTACAGAAACACGGAGAGCTGAGGAGAATATGCTCGTTAAGCGTAGATTACCACCAGCCCCCAGCCCTGACACACCAAGACTGGCACGAATCACTCCAAGCTGTGCTTAACCAGATCCTCTGGAGTTTCCTGTGTTTCTTCGAAGTCTGGGATTGCACTCTTGGCCTGAAGCAGTAATCTGAGTTCACAGTAACCCGGGTTCACTTTTTCAGCTAGTAGTGTGTTTCTAGTGGCAGCGCCCATCACAGTGGGGCCTTACACAGAGGAGATTCTGTCTCTCTGTGGAATGGATGGGGAAAGATGCTGTTGCTGGAAATCTTGGCAAATGGATTTGTGCCAGGCTTCTTGTCAACTCATCCAGTGTTTGGGTGTAAAACAGACTTTGCCAGATGTAGGAACTTGAAAATATCAGCTTTTTGTGGTTCAGTGAAGATATTTTAATCTTAAAAACCGAGAGTTGGGAGGAAACTTAGAGGGGAAGCAATGCAGTCACACCTGTCTTCTGACAATCTTCAGTCCTCTGCTGTCTGTTTTGTTTTTTTTTTAATATTTAAGAGGAAAGGCTTCATTCTTAGAAAAGCCTTTTTTCTTATATTTGAAATAGAAGGGGTTTGTATTTATGTTCTCAAATGAGACATTTATTTCTAATAATCATGCTTATTACAGAATTCCTCTAGTAATCATGAGGAATATAATCTTATATATAAACTAGAATTTTAGGATTATTTGAACCTTTGAGGTAATGGTAAAACCAGTTGATTTTACTGATCAATTAGAATCAATCTATATGTATAAAAAGAGCAACAAAATTTTTTTTACACAAAAACCCTTCTTTTGAAGGCAAAACAACTTAAAAAGTAAAACCATTTTACCAGATTATTTGCTGGAGCCAGAGTTCTTTGGTAATTCACAGGAATTCTCCAATGCCTGCTATCTATTATAACTTTTTCCAGTTACTACTATTTATTCTCATTAAGCTGCAGCAGTGCCAGGTCTTGAAGAATTATTTTTTCAGTAGTTTAATCTTAAATTGTATCAAATAGATTGCATTGATTTTATTAGGTTCTTGGAATTCTTTGAAAATTATTGATGGATGGATACCACAGTTGTCATTGAGGTCTGTCTGAGAATCTATTCCATTATTTAGATGTAACAAGAAATCAGTAATTCCTACATGTTGGTTTCCCAACTCCTAAATGTAACACAATTTTATTTTCAAATCTAATTTTGTGATTTTTAGGCTGCAAAAACATCATTACATCTGCTTTGACTAACTTTTATCTATTATGAATATATTAGAGCAGCTCATTAGCTCAGCCCTCTTCTGTGTTGGATAAAAATGTTTACTGTATTTTCTGTCATGTAACTTGAGAGCGGTGTATATTTTGCTAGTATTTTTTAAATAGTCCATTGCTGTAAAATTTCAAATAAAACCCTAAGCCCTGATTAAATTAATGACCGTAAATACCAGACCCTATTTTCTGCAATTCTAAAAGAGAATAAAGGTTGTGTTTGTCTTTGCTTTATTATCATGTTTGCTTAGTTCTTTTGAACTCTGATCTTAAAGGTACAAATACTACCAGCTGTTTCCCTCATTTCTTAATAGCAGATTTGTAATGCAATAAGAAAATCTTTCAGAATCAGGCTCAAAGTTAGCTCAGTCTTTCACTGTAATTTCCTAAAACAGAATTTGAAATTATATCAGTATCAATGTGCATATGAATTAGATGACCTTGCCTATTGAATTTGATAAATGTAGTTCATATTTTAAATTTTTTAATACTGATAGGTATCAAAGAACATGATTGTAATTCTTGCTTCTCTGTGCCTTTTACTCAAATTGTAAACTTCAGTTAATTTTTGGGTATTTGAGACTGCAAAGCCACAGAAACTTTAAAAATGAAATGTTTTCTTGCACTGACTCCTGTGGCTTGTAGCATTTTATTTGGAGTCTTGATATTCTAGTTGAAATCAAGTCCTGTATTCTGATACCTTTTCCCTAGCTAGAGACAGGCGTGTCTTCTACGCATGAGATGGCAAAGAGCTAAACTGAAAATGAGTTTTAATCTACCTTGTCCAATGATAACAAACAAAAGAGAAAGTAATATGGTCAGCGAGAGGTCCCCAACAGTAACAGAACAAGAAAAATTTTTCAGGGGCCTCCATTATAAAGCAATTTGCTGGAGACTCAGTTGTTAAAAATCAGAGGGACAATAATAGTCTGGAATTTCGTATAAGCAAATATCACTGTATATTATATAACCACAGCCTTTGCGGCTCACTTTCAGTATCCTGCCCCCTTCTGCATGGAAGATCTCAGGAATCCTGAGTAACTTCTCAGAGGTGAGTTGGTGGGCGAACCACAATCAACCAATTCCTTACAGTAATGTTCCTCGGTGTAAGTCAATTGTTACTGTAGTACAAGTAATTCCCTCTTCCTTTATTTTCATTGGACATTTCTTTGCATCCCAGATGTTTTTTATACATAAAATACAGCTGGCTGATCATAGATGACAAATTAAACACAAAATTTAACTTTATCTTCTCTCCCAGGAGTATTTCTCTTAATTCCCTCCAACAAAAACAGCGTTGTTTTTAAAGAGTCATTAAAAAGCCCTTAGCAAATCTGATTGGACACATTAAGACCCCAAAGAGATCCTACACAAGAGCAGCACTTTGTAAAAGTTTCGTAGAATTTTCTAACAATTTTCTGATTGTTGATTCTATGGATAACTTCCCCGATTGTAATAATGTGTGTGCAGGGCAAAGTGCTTCCCAATGTTTGGCCACCTCATGTTAGAACAGCCCTCCTGAATGGTCCTCCTGTCACCTGGGCCACTCAAGTATACTGTGTCCTTAATGTACCTGGCTGTCCAAGCTCCCAGATGGCAGAGAAAAGTCCTGTTGGGCCATGAAATCCAACCAACACTGACTGTTTAGGGGTTACACAGAAGCAGGAGAGGAAGAAAAAAAAGCATTTTTCTTGGTCAGAGAGGGGCAAGGAAAGCCCATCCCAGAAGACAGAGCACACTAGCAGGGCTTGGTGGTGACAAGGCTTTGAGAAATTCAGCAAGTGGACGGTGACTCACCTCCTTCTGAACCCCTTCCCTGGTCTTTTTGATCAATCTGTGATTTATCTCTTTCCTTAGAAGCAAAAGGTATTACTGTCAAGACCCTCAGCTAATAGCCTTGCCCTGCACATTGAGGTCATAACTAAGTTCCCATTAAAGTGGGTGGAACCTTACATTCCTGAAAACTGTAAGTCATATGTCATTAATAACGATACTTTGTTCTTCTAAAAGGCCTCTGCTCTTGAAAGTCCAAGGTGTTTAACACCATGTGGTCTCATTCGTCTTATCCATCAAAACGTACACGCTCTTGAAAAGTCGTCAAGACCAAGGAGGTAGAGGTGTTTTTTTTTTCAGTTTTGCTCAGTTCTGAACCTGATGAAGTGAGTGGTACTCCAAAGCAGGCATAGTGGCACACACCTGTAATTCCAGCAATCTGGGAGGCCGAGACAGGAGAATCAGCACAAATTCAAGCCCAGCCTGAGCAAATTAGTGATTTAATAGACCTTGTCTCCAAACAACAACAACAACAAAAGTTTAAAGAGAGCAAGTGGGTGAAAGAGGGGTGAGAAGGGGGACATAAAAAAGAATTAAGATGTGTTATATGCATGTGCCACCTCCTCCTAATGAATGTAATCACTGCATGTTGCAAAATGTACTAATAAAAATAAAACTTAAGAAAAAATAATACAAATTTAAGTAACGGATTTGGGGATGCAGCTCAGTGGGAAAGCTCTGGATTCAATCTCTAGTGCCCTCATTCCCCTAAAAAGTAATAATCTTCTTTCTGTTTGTTTTTTTTAAGAGTCTTATTGTACAGTCCAGACTAGCCTTAAACTCACTTTTTAATCGCGGGCTGGCCTCAAACTTGTAGAGATCTTTCTGCCTCAGCTTCCTAACTGCTGGTTTATAGGTATGTGCCACAGTACCCAGTTTAAGTAGTATTCTTTGAAAAATCTGATGTTATAAGTCTTTAAGCACTAAGATTTATCTGTTACTTCAACATAACCCTAATTTGCAAAAAACTGAGTAACAGTATTTCTCAAGTTTTCTTACAGGAGAAATTTAGCTTACATATTCACTTTCATGGCTCTAAAAATACCACCACATACCACATGTGTCAGCGACAATCTTCTTAACCCCATCTTCCCTCCAGGCTTCCATTTCCACCCATCTCTTGGACATACCCACATGTCTGGCAGGCCTCAAGCATCCGGGCAGTCAGTACTAAACTCACTGGCCTTCGTCCAGATGTGCCCCATTGGCTTGAGGACCCCTTCATGTCCTCAGTCATCCAAGCCGAAGCACAGAACTGCCTGCCTCACTTCACCCTTCGTTTCTTCCCCGCAGGGGAATGTCCTCAGGTCCTGGGGCTTCCATACCCCTCAGGCCACTGCCTTCATCACCTACCTAGACCAAGGCTTGGTTATTTTTCATCTGGAAGTTGAAAGGCCTCCTACATAGGGCTCCAGTGGACCACCCACCATCATTACAGCCACGACAAAGACCCCAGACACAAATCTCTCCATGATATCCTGTAACATAAAATCAGTCAGGCCTAAGCACAGTGCTCTGCACCAGGCTCCAGCCATGCTGCATAACCAAGAGAGGCCCGAGCCCGGCCTCTGCTCCCAACCTAGTCACTCTGCTCCCACTCCCCTGACCTCCAGGTCTAACCCCATCCTGCCCCAAATTCTGGCTCCATGTTTGTCCTCTGTGAAGCCCTCTGATACCCTTCTGGCTCTCCCACTTCCTGTTCTCAGCCTAGGCTTGCCTGCTGCCTCAGACTTGAATATTCACTTATCTGCCTCCATATTTGGACTGTCAGTTGCATGTGAGCTGAGATTTTTTCTCCTTCCGCTTTATTGTTGTCAGTGCCAAGAACCAGCACCAGTCTCCAGTCTCCGCTGGATCCTCAAGCTTTTGCTCAATGATGATGGAGGAACTGGTGATTCTTTTACTCCCACTCAACACGGTGTTTCCTAGAAGAGAGTTGAATCGTCGGAGATAATTCAGGAAACAAGTGAGATGTGGAGAGGACACTCTAAACATTTGAAAACTTTAGGGTAAATTGTGCTGGGAATTCACATGTACTCTTAACAGCATGGAAACACTAAGCCCAGAGTTCCCATCTGGATAATTTAAATGTGCAACAGGGTTTCCTCATAAACTAATTTGCAGAAATGAATAGCAGATGGGTTACATTACTCCATCCATCGTGAATAGGTGTTTTCTGCTCAAAGGTAGTCAGTGTCTTTCCTATTAAACTGCAGAGGGTTAATGCAATGTTTACATTTTGGGGTGCTTCTTGATAAAGGAAAGTTTTTAAATGGCTATACTATTCTATAATAAAATGTAAATGAGCATGGCTTTCCACGGCTGCATAATTACCCTAGGATCCATTTAAACAAAAATAGCATTGTGGAAAAACGGCCACAGAAGTGGAATAATAGTTGTCTCATTCTCTGGCTGGTGTTTGGGTTATAACATTTGGCACATCTTGATATCTACATAATTGTAGTTTTAAAACTATAAATAATATTTTACAGAGGTCACACTATAGTTATTTAAGTTCAGGGGTTTATTTCCCTAAGCACTAAGTAGCTATGAATGAATTATGTTTAGTCTGATCTGCCACAGAAGGGCCATAAACCTCCAAGTCACAGCAAACCATGGAACATTGCTTCAATACGTCAGGAAAATTGTACATGTAAAAGAATAATGCATGATAAGGGAAAGGTATTTGTATTTTTTTAAAGTAATATATGTTACTGGGCAAGAGCTATAAAATTTTGTTATGTTAAACTTTCCTCTGATTCTGGAAAACACGTTAAGGAATGGCCTTGCGTGGTCCACCTCAGCCAACACAGGCAGCTGCGTGATGGAGAAAGGGCTTACAAGGAGAGCTCCTCAGGACTGAGGCATGGTTTCTCCTCCCAAGTGCCCACACCTCAACCTGGGGAAAACAAAAGTTGCAAGATCAAAGGCGGATATGACAAACTTTCCTTTAACCCAGTGCTATTTTCCTAGGATTTCCAGTCAAGTGTCTTGCTAGGCACTAGGAAAGGGCATAGACACAGTTTGAGCACTTGGATGTAATTTGTTTTTATAATTAAACTGAGGTCAAATGCTTACATGACATTGTGGAGCACGGACAATATGCTAGACAACATGCTGAGCAAGGTTCCTGCCCACTTGCTTCATCTTTATAACAACCTTAATGTTATCCCCATCTTGCAAAAAAAGGTTAGGAGCAGAAAAGGAAGTTGGGCCGAGAATGGGGAGTGGAGAACTGGGAGGGCCCAGAAGCCCCAGGCTTTGAAGTCAACAGAGACAACCTAAATAGCTGACATTCATCCTGTACTTTCTAGACACCTTCAGCACATTACAGGCCACCCAACAATCCTAAAATGTAGGTACATCATTATCTACAATTCAAGGTAAAGACCAGAGCTCAC